GGGCTCCATTATGCCCCCCTTAAAGCATCTGAGTGACTCTTGAAAGCATCCTATTGACCCCCAGTGGCCCCCAAAACCATCCTAGTGGTGCCCTGAGGCCGCCAGAAGCATGCAAATGGCTCCTCATGGCCATCAAAAGCACTCTGGTGGCCCCCTGTGACCCCTAAAAGCATCCCGTTGGCCCCCAAGCCCCAAACGTATTCCAGTGGACCCCCGTGGCCCCCAAATGCATCCTAGTAGACCCCTGTGGTCCCAAAAGAAATTTAAGTGGCCCCGATGGCATCCAAAACATGAAAGTGGCCCTCAATAGCATGGTAGTGGCCCCTTATGGCCTATGGACTGATATATCAATTTGAGGGACATTGGGCCCTTTCCTGTGAAAAAATTCAAAAGATGTCTGCAAAAAAACAAAATGACCTTGAACTTTGGAGAAATCTACTATTCTAGTACCTTCTTTTCTAAGAAATATAAAGTACTAATGATACAGTGCTGACATCTTCCAATATACTCAAAAACGTGCCATAATCGGGACATAGACACTAATGGGTTAATTAAAGCTCTTCTTCAATCTAATGGTTCTATCATATTGTTGTTGGGAGGGGGGGGGGGTTATGTTAATCCAATAATATGTTGCTATGGTAACCAGGTGAATTATCAGGCGAATCAGAAAATGCATGGATAATGTAGATTAACTGACTGGCATAATCGTTATGGTATCATAGCTGCTTTTGTGATTATTTTCTTAAAATAAAGTAGAATTGCTCAAAATGATTCCAAATTGGTACCTTGTCCTTTGACATTCAAATGAGGTCAAAGCTGAAAACTATGATTGATTCTCATTCCATTTCTTTACAAGTATGAATATCTAGGCGCAAATGCCAAAGGGAAAGGACCAAACACTGAAAAGAAACCCAGCAAGAAAAGCAAACCTTAGCTTCCATTTGATGAAAATTTCATATATACCAGAGCTATCATGATGACAAAGATAGAAGCAAAACTTTGGAAAAGTCTTGAAAAATGGGGACGGCAAATCCACCTGGTTACCACAGCTAACATAGGCATAGCCAGGGGGTGTAATGAGTGCACCCCCTGTAACCAATAAAAATAGAACCATTAGATAGAAGAAGAGTTTTAAAATGCATTTGACTCAAAGCTCCTAGCTCATTTTGAAGGAAGTTGCATTTTTGTAAAAGTAAACAAAATGTTTAAAAAAAATTGTCAAACCAACCCCCCCCCCCCCCCGACTGAGAGCTTGCTACGCCCCTGATTAACAATTGCCCTTATGACATCATAATATAACACAATCCAAATTAAATAATTTTCTATAGTTATTAGGTTATTTTCTGTCACCACCCAATTGAAAAAAGCCTATGGAAAATCATCTCCAATTATCACCTAACTTACTATTGATAATTAGTTGAAAGTTAGGTGTAAAAATTCACATGCAAATGAGCTAATTATCAACTTAATTAACGCTTAATTTGCAACTTAATTAACGATTAACTACCATCAATATGCAAATGAGCTATTTACGTAAATTAGTTGAAAGTTAGTTGTAAGTTTGATGTAAGTTAATCTCTAATTATCACCTAACTTACTATTGATAATTAGTTGAAAGTTAGGTTTAAGTCAGATTTGTGACATCTCAAAAATGACTCGCTTCTTTTTTGCTTCCCTTCACTCGGAGATTTTTGCTTCATCTTGAACTATTTTGTGATGGAATATTCATCTTAATTAGGATCTTTCAGAACAGACAACATTGAACTTGAACTATTGAAATTTCACAGCAAGAGGAGGGAAAACCCCATGATTCAATTGAGGACATAAGATTTCCTCCTTCGCATACCTCCTTTTGTCGAAAACGGACCCTCCATCTTGGTTTTTAAAGTTTTCAAATTGACCTAGATTTTAACCAATCAACGATCGACTCGCTAAACCAATCAGCGACGATGTCATCTCAATACAGATTTACATTATAAGCGTATGTCATCTTTGAACCCTGGGGTTTCTCCCCCTCTTTTTTAATTCTATTTTGCAAATTTTTAAGATTCATAAAAAGCATGTGAAAACATCATTATTGCCATCAACAACTAAAATCAGAACACAAACATTAGACTATAATGTTACATAATAAGGACGTAACAGATATAATGAAAAATATGTTTTGAAATGTCTTTGATCTAACAATCATTATTTAGAAGAGCACATTTGGATTACTTGTGAAACATAGGTAACCCATGTTAGTACCTAAATTGCATTCTAGGATTAATATTATATGATCTGATTCAAAAAGATTTTTAAATTCATAAACATTTCAGACAGAAGTGTGAATAAGATTTAACATACATTGTATTCATGTTCTACATACCCTTATAATAATGTTGACCAAATTTCATGGTAGTATACGCACCATTCACGTTGTAATTCTCAATTTTATGAGAGAAATATCTCTCACATGTTTTCTTTTTCCACCATCTTGAAATTAAATTTAGGGGGTTTGTATTTCTAAATCATGGGCCTAATTTACAACTAATTATCATTAAAATCATCCTATATGTTAACTATCAACCAATAATCTACTTCAGACCAAAAACGTTTTAATTTACCACTTACTATCACTCTCAAACATTTCATATCTTAATTATCAACTAAAAATCATAAATCAGCATTATTGTAAGTTAATTTACGTTGAACTTGCTACTGATAATTAGGCCATAATTATCATTGATTTAATTAACGCTTAACTTTAATTCCAATTGCCAGCAGAATTGTTGATACTTAGTTGTAAATTAGTTGGTAATAAGTTGGTAATTAGTTTTATTTTTCAATTGGGCAAATTTAACGTAACATTTCCTAAAGAATTCTCTTGTTTACAGCGGAACGTTTTGCTACTTGCTGTTACCATAGCAACAGCGTGAATCGGACACTTTCATTACATTTATTCAATGTTTTATGACCATACATGTATGAATGTAATAAATTAATAAACTCAACTAAAAGAAATAAACTAATTAACTATAGTTGAAAGCATTACTGACCATTTTAAAAATAATAATTTCGCAGATTTATACATCATGATTAAAATAAAATACACAAAAACAAACAGTTATGATGTCATAATTAAGATGCAAATCACCCTATTTGCATACTTTATTAACTGTATGATTGCTTCATCTATTACCTTTCATTTGGTGCAAATTTCATCGAAATCTGAGCAATAATGACGAAGATATGGGTCAAACACCGAAAGGAGCCCCTAAAAGTGGGTGTGGCATATTCACTTTGTTACCATAGTAACGCTGCCGCGGATTCAGAATTGCCAACTTAATATGTTGTGAGTGCATTATCTATTACCTTCCATTTGGTATGAATTTCATCGAAATCTGAGCAATAATGAAGGAGATAAGGGCCAAACACTGAAAAGAGCCCCTAAAAGTGGGCGTGGCTTATTCACTTGGTTACCATAGCAACGCCGTCGCGGATTCAGAATTGCCAACATCATTTTTCTTGGTAAGTATCACATATAGTTCATAAAAATATATGTCGCTTAGCTCGCCTCTAAAAAGGACACGGAATTACCTTTGCTCCCATACTATCAATATGTTGTAATGTTTCTTCCAACGGCCCCGTTTATTATATTATTAAAACAATTGCTCAATTTGCAACAACGCTGTATTTATTTTTATATGTGATATACCTGATATATTGATAATATGTCTTCCATAACAAATGCTTATATCTTACCTCAGTCATTTCATTATCTCATGGTTAGACATAATCAATCTTATGATTTACCACAAAGAATTACACCATTTCTTAATTTTTTTTACTTATCAAACATCACTTATTAAAAATATAAAAAATGGACAATAAAATTTTTGAATAAAACTATCAAATCAGTCATTGCTCAGCAAATACAAAGTATAAAGGAATAATAAACAGAACGTGTTCGCACAAAGTTGAAAATACGGATCGGCAAGTCAACAAGTCTGACCGTTAAATAAACAAACATAACCTATGTCTCCAATTGTTCGTCTGCTGGTCAGAACTTGGTATCCGCTTCGGATAACCAATTTCTGAGAATACTGATGTCTTAAATAGATCAGACTTTTTGCATAAAGACGTCTTTAAATAAGAATATTTAATCTGCAACAATTAATATCGTAAACCCCAACACCTTGCTGGCGTCTGGTAAATCTAAAAACCTGTTTTTCTTAAAATATTACATTTTTATTAATAGATTTATAAAGTGTAGCTTTCTTTTAAACGAATTGTCCTTATCTAGCTTTATGGATTATCACGCTTCTATTTAGCTAAACACATCGATACTTACTACTCGTTATCAGTCCAAAAACCAAGCATACACATGTAGCATATTCAAATAAATGTCAGAATGTAGGCCTATCATATCACGCGCGTAGTTCTAAAGTTAACAACATATTAATGCAATAGAATAAGACACGATAATTAAAAAGATAAACCTCGGTATTCGGGCCTAAAAACCACGGATACGTGTATCAATACCTAGGCGTAAGCAGAAGTAACCTTCCAAATAAGTGTATCAATAATCAAGGATAGCGACAACTAAGCACCGAGTAAGATGGTAATAAGCAGTTTATTGCAAATTATTAAACACGATTTTGTCTTGTGTTAATTGAAAAGGATTGGATTTAAGCAGGAATTGCAAACGTCTTAGCAACTACCATTAAAATATCAGGTTACGTCTATACCTTAACAAGGTAATGAAAGTCATGATTTGTAGCATTGTTGAACAGTCAATCTTGGTTGGCTAAGCTAGTGAGCAACTTGTTTCAAATTGACTTATTCATTTATCATTTACAAGTTCTTAGAAGTTCAAATATGACTTTAGATTTGGGATTTGAACTTTCGTTTACTTTCAAGGACGTTTAAAAGGTGGTGATAATTTTAAGTGAATGCCTTGTCTTCCACTAATTTATGTGCGACATGAAAACGCTGGTTAACTGGTACTCCTTTACTACCTTGAGTAACGACGTTCTCAATACTCTCGCCAGTTTCGTGAGCCATGAATCCAACAATGGAGAAGATCACAAGACCAGCGAATAGACTCGTACCAGCATTCATGATTGGAATTAAAACAGAGTCTCTGTAACGAAAATTGACATTTTTGAGATGGCCAGTAATAATCAAAATATTTGGCTGTATCATTTTGTCAAGACCTCAGAACGATTTGCTTTTTTGAACGTATTTGTGTGGAATGGCGACTGATATAGGAGTATGTAATTCTATTGAATAATGTCTGCCAACTGGAATCAAACGAAATCACCTGTGACAGTTGTTGTTGAACGTGTTGTAGCTGGCCATCGTGCCAACAGCACCCCAACCTACACCGGAAGAATAGAAAATTTGCATAGCTGCTTCACCCCATACCTAAAACATGCTTTTAAGTTTTTGGCCACTCTTTTATGCTTAATTCATCGCACGCTTAATTAGTCGAGCTTTGTTATTTTAACAGAGTATTACTATTATGTACTAAATAATGAGAATTTGAAAGTAAACAGTGAACATGCAGTAGGTTAACCATAGTACACAGCCATTTTGGTGGTCACGACCAATCTTAGGAATCTGTTAAAACAATAGAGAAGCAGACCGAGTGCAAACTAGATCAGTATACTTTAAATTGCAAAATGCTTCCATTCATTGTCAAGCTAGGATTGATCATATGATATATACAATATGTAATATTTACCTTAAAGCTGCCAAGTTTTTCCCACTTGGGAATGAGGTAGTACTTCAGACCATCTGCTGCTCCAGGGAGTGTCACACCACGTATCAACAGGATTGTGAGTATTAGGTAAGGAAAGGTAGCCGTGAAGTATACCACTTTGCCTATATTGAAATATGACATTTGTTTAACTTTGGGAAATTGAATACATATGAATTGCGCACGTTTACTCCAACAGCAGTAATAGTTAGATTTAGTTTTACTATCATCTACTTATTTTTCCCTTTCTTGTCATAACGATACATGCTTGCATCGGTTCAAATTAACCCCCACTTCGCATAAAAAGAAAGTGTACAATTCACAATTCATGGCTAGACTGCATCTTCAAGTTCCATTTGATACGCAAATAATGATTTTGGATCAAAATTAAAAAAGTTATAGAATTTTGAAGAAAGTGGCGTTTTGGCACACTCTGTAATGGCATTTTCATACCAGATGTCCTAATGCCTTTGATGATACACAGAAACACTACCATCCAGGCCGCCGCAAGGCAAGGCAACAACTTCCATTGGACAGAACCCATATCTTCAATACCTTCAGTTATATTGAGGACATAACGACTGTAATTTGAAAAAAAAAATATATCAAATATGTGCAATAAGTAAAAAAAAATATTGCAACTTTTTGATGATAATGATTCCCTTGTTGTACTCTAATACTTTATCTTATCTTTATTTATTTATTTTATTTTTTTCATTCTAACATGTACAATAGTTAAAACAGGTCGTTTATTAGCCTAGCTACAAGTCTCTGTGACCCCCTCCCATCTACTTGACTAAACACTTTCTCACACACTTGTTGTAGTTGGGGCCACAAGGGCTTGTAGCTAGACCAGTCGCTTATTTTTCACATCATCTCCATACATTCAGAAGATATCTCCAACAGTCATACGATCCAGGTACATACTTTATGCTATGTACGTGAATGCTAAATATACATTCCCCCTCTCTCGGTAGACAATCTACCCTCCCCTTGCCTTCCACTTGTTTACTATGAATTTTAGTAGATTTAAAATCTGTAATTGTAGATAACAGTGCAAATAAGATTTAAGCTTAAGGTGTGGTTCGACTGCCGGAAAAGAATTAAAGGGAAAGTCATTTGAAAATACCTCCAATATTCCTCACTTGGAGACACTCGTCTTAGAGTAGTGTTCACTAAAGTGCTTCCATTTTCAGCTACATCTACTGAGACATTTATATTCCCTATTTTGTACGCTGTGAAATTTTTGAGTAGATAGTCAACTGTACCATTTGATGTAGTGTTGGCCTAGCAAATATAAACAATTCAATAACATGCAAAATGTCACCACCATACATGTGTTACAGATGCCAAACGCAGAACGCCAACCACCGAATACCAACCGTCGACCGTCGCAACAAAACAAAAATAGCATAATGGCCTCAATGGAAGATATTAAGTGACAACTATTATGAAAAGAAAGAAGATATTGTTAATTTAGAGTTTTTGACCTAGATACATATCTTTAAAATGACCACATGTTGAATTGTGTAGGATAATCCTTTATTTTGAAGAAATATATATGGAATTATTACACCAAAAGTAGTGCGAAAATGGCCTTTTCACGTGTTGGCATAGTGAAAATGAGTGCTTTTTTGTTGGTTTACTTTGACCAATCATAGAAAAAAATCGAAGTGGTAATTAAACCAATTTTTGACATTTTATGTTGTCTAGAAGTGTCCTCGATGATTCCAAAGTTTAAAAAAAATTGTTTGACAAGAAATATTTTATACATTAGTGCCATTATGTTGGGTTTGGGTGCTTTTTTTGCTCTCATTTTTTACCCCATTTCCACGGTTGCCATGGTAACTAATAGGCTTTGGTAACCATGCCAACTTGATTTTTGAAGGATATCCACCTGAAAGTACTGTAGTTGGGCTTGGCTTGATATGCTGGCAGTGAGGTTGATTGTGGCAAGTAGTAAAACGGCAAAACAATGGGGAAGTCATACGATATGAATAAAAGTTAATCAAAATGAACAATATATTATTCACCTGTCCTATTAAGCTACATTGGGGCGTGTTCCATGAATTACCACACGTACTCCATGGAAGAGTCCAAGTAAATGAAGCGAAGATGAAGTAGATTGTCCAGGCTACGATTACGTTGTAGTAAATATTTACCACAAACGCAAGAAGGGTCATACTGTATCCTAAACCTAGAAAAAGAAATATCATATACTGCATTCATCTAGTTTTGAAAGTAAAAATACTGTGTTTTACCATTATCAATTTAATTTCTGATGTCAACGGAATCCAAGGTTTGAATAAAATTACATTTCTAAAGGTATAGTTATAAAAACAGTAAAAAAATTATCTATCGTACAATTTATTTATGTTAAATATGCATGACATGTATGACCTTCTGCTTAACTATAGTAAACGTTGAATAATCCATCATTCCCATACCTTTGAATAATGGGCTCAGCTTCCATGTTGCTATTGGACTAAGACTTCCAAATTGCCCAATCGCCACTTCCAAAAAGAATAACGGCATGGCACAGAGGGCAACGAACAGCAAATATGGAATCAAGAATGCTCCTGGAAATTGGAATTAAATTAAATAAATGCAGATGTGTGGCTAATGGATATTGGCAATCTCTGCCCATGCCTGTTGCTCTGAACATCAAATGGACCCAGTTATTGAGAATGACTGACCGAGTCGTATGCTTGCCAGTTGGCGTGTGATTTTTATAACTGAGTGAGCTCATTTACAAGGCTTGAATAGACTAAATTGTCAAAAAAGCAAAACATCTAGAATAATGTCCATGATGTGACACTTGCGAAACCTCAGCTTTATTGGTCTTTACGAATGAAATCCATCAATACATCCATTCATTTATTTGTATTTAAGGTTAAAAAGTTAACCGGGTATTTGACTTCTCTATTTCACTACCGTTACGTTTGACTAAGAGTTGGAATCAAAAATAGGTATATACATTAGTAAACGAAGACATGACATCAGTGTGGTTTATGTTATAGAAGTCACAGTAATAGACTGCGACTCGCTTAAAATAACGCGTAGTCCAGCACTAAAATGGAGTAACGCTGGTCAGACTCTCCTCATATATCCAGAAAATAACCAATTTAGCCTAAGATAGTATTCATTTGGTGATGAAGAGATCACTGTGCATTCATGGATATTATGTTGAACGGAAATTGACTATTTGGCAGAATTTTGATTTCCACAAGTTAAACTGTTTATTGCATGTGATTTGACTTTGTATAATTTTTAGTTTTAATTGAATATAGAGCTATCCCTTTGGCACCGAGTGGACACTACCTTTAACATTTACAATATCAGGATCAGTTTTCTCAATAAATCACCCATAACCCAAGGATATGTTTTACTTAAAGTGCATTATAATTATTTTATCTGTACAATTATATTGCAATTCTTAAATTTGCCCTCGAGATGTGCTCTCTAAAATGATATAATAAACTGAATAAAACAAGCCAGTCTGATTGCATTAGCATATCAAAATTATTATAACTCACCACCGCCATTTCTGTAGCAAAGGTACGGAAATCGCCATATGTTTCCTAGTCCAACAGCAAATGTTAGGCAAGACAGCAAAAACTCCAGTTTTCCTATAGTAAGTACTAGTACTTAATTATAATATAAAATGATACTACAGTCAAATTCACTGTATATCTAGATCTGTCTTTGCCATTGGAACACTGTGTAAAACTATAAAATTATGGAAATACATTCACATTAAGACACCTAACTATTGTGCATTGCAGGATTAATATACCAGAGACCTCTATATATAAAAATTAAACATGTATTAGCCAGACACACAATCAAAAACAATCAAAATGTTTGTTTCATATGTAATAATCACTGGTTAGTATCTTTTTCTTTTCCATTCCTGAAGGATTTTAATTCTGGTATAAAAAAAATATTAAACAAGGGCAGATGAGCGCGCTCCAATGGTTTACCGTCAGTGTTGCCAGAGAGTAAATGTTCTCCAACGGAAAATCATCCATTTTGTAACGTCTTTATAACCAAGAGCGGACCAGTGTTGTTTAGATTTACGAATTGTGTCCTTTAAAATGAAAATCTTTACGTCTACCCCTTGTTATGGTGGCAGGCAAATCGTTGCAGAAAAATTATAAAAATATTTTATTGGCCTTACCTGACCAGTTCCCTCGTGCAACAGCACCATCCTGGGATTCGTTGGAGTCGTCATAATTGGCAATTTTTTCACTTTTACCGGAAACATTTCGAATTTCCATTTTCGAAGTTTTTATGTTTTGATCTTACAGCGTTTAATATTGCTGAATGACTTGGAAGAAGTTTAAAATGCGTGTCTTATATGTATGCTTACTCAACCAGTAATACTACATTTTCAATATTCATTTATGCGATACACAAAAACAAAATACACAAATGCACAATACATTTAAGGATGAGTATAGTAGCACAGGGGCGGATCTGAAAACTAGCATTTAGGACCCTTAAAACAAATCAAATCAAGCCCAATTTTCATGATACTTTGGCTTAAAATGAAAAATAAGGCTAAATTAAAAAGGTTCATTAATGTCCAAAAGGGGCCGCTAATTTGGTTCCTAAAGATTTGGATAAAAAAATATAGTATGGATAATATTGATAGGTTGACAACACTTTTTTCGACCCAAATTGCATGGTTCAAATGGGAAGAGTAATCCCTTACTTTTTAATCCTTACTTATTCCCATTTGGTACATCCAGATCAATTCATAAACCTGCTTAAAATCAGTACATATTAATGAAAATTATTTTAACAGCCCAGAATAAAAATTGACGAAAAACACAATTTGCTTTTTACAGCCCAGAAAAATGTCAAAATCCGGAAAAATGACGGTGAACGTTCAATGCTCGAATTCTGCCACTTTTGCAAGATATCTCTCGTTCTTAAACCGATTATTTTCCTAGTTTTTCCAGTGATTCTTTTTCTAACATACTTCTCTCGGTTTTGGTCGAGTGAAAATGTGATGGTAGTATCAAGTATCTCCTATTTTGTCGGTAGTACAAACGTTACTCTATTAGGGATCTTGAAGCTAGGCCTAATCGAAATCTGAAAATGAGCTTTCCTGGAAAAGTGAAAGTGAGCTTTCAGGGTTCAAGTCATACGGGTTTGGAAAAAACAATCTATTTTAAATTTCATTTCCGAACTTTATCTGCGTGTACAGTATATTGACAACTGTGCATGGCTGTATTTTCATATATTATCCTACAGTGCACAAATATCTCAATGCAGTTACATCTTTTATAAAGTATGTCTGCACCACTGAATATTCTTATTACTATAGATTGTGTTTGAAACCGTTTAGTTTGTCTATAAATCACTCTACTATACCTTGCATTTGGTGTTCATGAGCAACCCATTTGACTTATTAGTAATGATTATGTTATTTGTTTTTATATGTCTGTTCCTTCATGAATGGTTTATCGGATGACTGTTAGGTGGTAAAAAGGTACTTTCAAAAATATACTAAACAATACAATTGTTTTGTGTAAAAGGTGTGGTTTCAAATGTGTACGAAATGAAAAGTTGGTTTCCAGTGGCAATACAGTGATTTATTTGACCAAAATTAAATACTTCTAAAGAATGTATACATACACATACTATACTTAGTTCTCTCTACTCGGTTATTCTCATAATTATAATATTATACCCATTGAAGCTTTTGATATAAATGATGAGGTTGTTTAGGCAATTTGTTCAGAGAAAATGTCAAAAATGGTCAAGTATGTTTATGATTGCATTTTTAGTAGAAGGCATACTTTGACCCTAAGAGAGAGACATGCTTTAGTTGCATTGCTTAATGTTTCTAGCTGCACTACCACCAGAAGGCCTTCCAAATGACATAATTCCAGCGATGATGTTTTTTATTTGCGCCTCCTCCGTATTCCTTGTTAAATTGTCGCCACAGATAGGGCTAAATAACAACAACTGCCGGCAAGGACGGGATGTCCTTGGATTATTTGAAATACACCCATATGAGTTTTTCGAAACTTTGGATGAAACAGTTAATTATAATACATTTCATGAGATGGCAGGGAATTTTTTGCCTCGAACTTTTGACATAGCTTGCCACCTTACAATAGACTTCTCAACACATTGATCTGGCTGAGATCTTGCCCTTGCTACCCGCATCAAATGCTCGCTGGCCATCTCTTGAAAAATGGAACAATATGAGGAATATTTGGAACGATCTCCCATTTGCCCTTGGCTAAATTGATTCATTAACACCCTATGAAATTAATAGGCCAGAAAATGAACCCAAACACTTTTTACACTGAGAATAGCTTCGAAACTATTGATTTATCAATTATACCTAGAATTAAGTTTTAATGCTACTGAACTTATGATACGACCCCTGAAATCTGACTTTCACTTTCAGATTCCAAATAGCTTCAACATCCCTATTGCAGACGTTGCAGTTTCTATGAACGGTAGGAATGAAACAAGATTGAAGGTTAGCAATTTCAACTAATCTAAGTCAAATAGGTTAGAATTTAGATATCATTTAACGTGGCTTATAACCCTATTTATTTTTTCGTGAAGCCACTCAGTAAAATTACGATTTCTCTGCACACTGATGTCCAATGAAGATCATTCGAGTATCTATGTGTTCCTAACACGTTTGGGCATCCCGGAATGACAACATCTACACAAAGTTTACACGCTATATTGACGTAATTTATGACTGAAATCGAGAAGACAAAATTTGAGTTACACAAACAAAATTGCTTGTGATTCTCAATAAGAATGCAAGATAGGTGACCCAGGGCTCAATCTCAGCATTCTCATTACCAACATCACTTTTTGTTGTATATATAAATAGTATATATGACCCTCTACCTAGCACGTTTGTAATATATGATTTCTCAGTTACACATATTTTATTATATGTACTAGAATAGGGCTATTCATCAGTTACGTGACTGTCGCCATATCAAAAATCAGGATTGTATGGTGCCATTAGAGAATTTTTCATGCATAACATCCCATATAAAGTGGTGTATTATACACAAGACGATCCCAGCTTCTGGTTAAATGACAGAAACTATCATTTTGACATTTTTACCATGTTGAAACTGTTCCTTGACCAATGTCGCCAGACTTTTTTTTATATCAACCCCCCTGTGCTATAAATCATATAAAAACTGGTGAAAAATTAATGTTTCATATGTGCCATATACGTATCTGGATTCCAATTTGAATACTTAATATAAAGTCGTAAAAGTTGATATTTGAAACGTTGAGATTTTGGGGCCAGAAAATTATAATTCCCGTTTTTCATGAAGTTATAGATAAGAAAATCATTTACGTGGTCATAGTTTTCACAGGCAATACGTGTCTGAGCAAATTAATGTTATATCACCTTATTGTGTGGTAGGAGTGATCCTTGTTGATCAGTATTTTTAACTAAATTGACATTGTTTGAATATAATACAGCCAGCAAAGGGGTATTTGCATCATTTACGACACCATCATTTACGATACCTAGTAGTACGAAAATAACGGTTACCATACTCCTAGCTCTGAATAAAGTTTATAAAGCGGGAAATTTGAGTATTCATATTTATTTGAATCTGAATAAAGAAACACTACCACCTTTGTAGAGTAAATCCACACAATTTAAGGTATATATGACACCTAATATAGTATCTCTCTTGTAAAACGAAGATGTAGTGTTAATTTGATGTTATCTATGGCATAAGGACAGTCAGTATAAATGTGAAAATGAATATAAAAACACTTTTCTATCATTCAATTTGAATTGAAGCTATAGTCTTGCGTTTTCTATGTCATAAATTACGTTACTATAGGTAACGTAATTGATAAATTCTATTGCACACATTTTCTGTCGTCAAATCTTTACAGGTATGTTCATTTATCAACTTGTATACTTTTCGTAGATGGGAAAGCATCCTGCTGAAATTCAAAAAGACTATAGTGATAAGAAAAAGCACCAAAAAGAGCGTGCTCGGGTTCATAAATGCATTGTCTCAATAGCTGAGTGCACTATCTGAAAAAGATAAAGACCATAAAAGAAAAAATTATGTCATTGCGCCCGAGACATGTTATGTTAGTCTCAGATAGCGTAATAATACAGGAGACAAATCAAAAAGAAGAGAGACTGTTAGCAATGACCCAAGTAATGCCGATAACAATGATTGTGACCGTGTTTATGGCAGTGGTACAAGTAACACACAATTAATAGTTCATATAAATTTTGCCTGGAATTTAGCAAGAGGACATGCATGGCTCTTTAGAAAACGGATAAGTAGAACTTTGGGACGTACGTACCCATAAGAAAACAAAGCTCCCTGAACATAGATAAACATGGAAAAACAATCACAAATCATTCCAAAGGATCTTACAGAAGCAGAGAAAAATAGAACCAAGGGTCCAAGCACGCCAAAAACACCAAAGAGTGCAGGGGAAAAGTGATGCGATGCAAACTTTAACATAGTGATATCCCTAGAGTTGAGGAGAAGATTAGTACGAGGAAAACACGTAGTTGAAGAGTTGAAGCAGACGCAACATGACTGGCGGGGAAATGCCTGAAAGAGTGTTCAAATCTAGTTGATATAATATGACTAAAGGCGATGGAAGGTGATACAAGCTTAAGGGCCTTGCTTGGCTGGACAAAAATGAAATGAGTACTCGACGTTTACCACAAGCAAAGGAATATAAATTTGTTGAAGCAAATAAACAGTGTTAAAAGCGCCCCGCACAAAAGTGAAACAAATCAGGAATGACATACAAGAAGAGACAACATAGCTATCCAAGAGTATTCTGACAGGGCCATCATGCAGACTGAGAGTGGAGCTACATCTTTTTTTCACTGCAGTTTACAATTACTGTTGGTATGTCGAAAAGGCACTGCATGTAGATACTGATGATAATAAATACTATTTTTTAAGAAAAGAAGAATGTCCAATGGTCTCTAGAATGTTACGTTATTTGGCTGAGAGTCTCAGATTTTGAGTGTGTAGTAGAGGAGTCAATTCCAACAGGGAAGTTTAAAGGGCTATTTAAACTCTAGATCTGTGTCCTGAGATTCAAACTCGTGTTCTATGGGATTTATATGTCCAAGCTAGGATTAAGTAACGTTTTCAGGAGTTCAAATGTACCTATGGTATTAGAGGAGACACTGAATGTTGTTACTTTTTGACGATAATCACAAATTATATAGCATAGTTTTGATCTTGCGATTGTAAGTTTTGTAATCACTTACGTT